TGTGTGTGTGTGTATATACTGTGTGTGTATATATACAGTATATATGTGTGTGTGTGTGTATATATATACTGTGTGTGTATATACTGTATGTCTGTGTGTGTATATACTGTATGTCTGTGTGTGTGTGTGTATATATATATATATATATATATATATATATATATATATATATTACTTTCCTAATTTCAATAGGAAAAGATTTTTTACAAATCTTTTAAGATAAAAAAATATATATTTATTTAATTCCAAATAAATTAAATGTTTAAAATATCCTTTGAATGGTTATTTTAATTAAAATTTCGTATTTTCTCCCACAGGTGAAAGAGTTTTACCACTCGTGCATCAACATGAAGGAAATCGATCGTCTGGGGGCGGGGCCTATGACTGAAGTGATTGACAGCTGTGGTGGGTGGGACCTGTCCGGAGCTCCTCCCGGAGGGGCGGGGTGGGACAGTGGCTCCGCCCCCGTGAGACCAGATTTTAATGAGATGCTGTATAAGACACAGGCAGTTTACAGCACGTCTGTGTTCTTCTCTCTCACCGTTAGTGTGGACGACAAAAACTCGTCACGCAACACCATACGGGTGAGAGAGTGCGTTTATGAGCGTTCGTGAGTGGAGTTTTTGTTTCAAAGTAACTTCAGCTGGTGTTTGTGTGATTGTAGATTGATCAGGAGGGTTTGACTCTGCCAGAAAGGACTCTGTATCTGGGGCAGGATGAAGACAGTGTGAAGGTGAAACGCCTCTCTTCATCTCTCCATATGCTCTTTTGTTCTGGACTCTTGTCTCTCCATCTGTCCGTCTGTCTGTCTGTCCGCCATCTGTCACTCCGGCCGTCTCTCGCTGTGAGCTCAAACGTCTAATTGATCGTGTCACAGCTGCTGATGATGTCACAGATGAGCTGGCGTCTCTTAATAATGAAGTCACAGCAGTGATCCTCTCACGCTCCGATGACATCAGATCTCTGCAACAACACAGCTACAAATCAGAATTGACAAGCCACGAAATCCCACTGAGAGATCAATAAAAACATGGATTAATCTCATAAAAAACATGTCCAGATCACATTTCAAACCAGAAATCACAACAGAATTTCTAAATGCAAAATATTAAGTCTATATTAACAAATAAAAAGTACAAATACAAAGGTTTACATAGTTGTTAAGAGATTTCATTTTTGTGCATCTTTATCTTTTTAGTTAACTAAGTCATATCTAGATTTGTTTTCTCTTTACCCTTTTTTTATAAAAATAAAATGTATAAAAGATACTCAAATACAGTCATATATCTAGATTTTTTTGTTATCAATGTACTTGAGAGACAAAAACAAATTAAGACATCCAGATAAGTAATAAGTTACAAATTATATGAACAAACAAACAAACAAAAAATTGTAAATAAATAAAAATAAATGTATTTAAAGATTTACTTTTTATGTATATTTATCTCTTTAGGTAATAAAATAAAGCCATATATCTTTTTTTAACCAGTAAACTTTGTAGAGACGAAAACATTCAGTCATAATAAACATTAAAACAACATTTATATTTGTTCCTTTTGCTTTTGTGTATAAAAAAACTAATATATAGGTACTCAAAATTTTACTTTTCTAATGTAATAATAGATAGTCAAAGTTGTACTTTTCATGTATCTTTAAGCAAATAAAGTCATACAGTATATCTAGTTTTATACTGTAGTTTTTTCATTATCAATGCACCTAAGAGACAGAAAACATCAGAAATTCAACCATGAAAACATTAAAACATGATTTATAATTGCTACTTTTGCTTTTGTTTACAATAAAATTGTAAGATTTAGCATGAAATCAGTTTCATGTCAGATGTTTGTCCATTATAATAACATCACAATGTTTTTTTTTTCTCAATGATTTCAGATTCTGGCGTCCTATAAGGCGCTGATGGAAAGGTTGCTGAGCATGCTGGGAGCTCACAACGCCACGCTGAAATCCAGAGAGATTCTGGATCTGGAGACGAGACTTGCGAATGTACGTATCACGCGCGCGTGTGTATGTGTGTATGTGTGTATGTGTGTCTGTATGTGTGTCTGTATGTGTGTCTGTATGTGTGTGTGTGTGTGTGTGTGTGTGTGTGTGTGTGTGTGTGTGTGTGTGCACTTTAGTGATGTTCAGTTTGCCAATTAATTATTCTTTTGATTTGGTTCTTCTTAATAATTTGTTTACTGGAGAAATTGTTTTTTGAGTTTTTTTGATGTATTTATTGAGAAAGTGTTTCTGGAACAAACAAACACAATGTAAGGCACACTATCCATTACATTGCTCATGTTTTATTCAGAAAATGTAAAAATCTAGTTATAATAATTTTATACATCGTCAATAATTCAAAATGATATTGTGATAAATAATATATGTATATGTATAAATATTTAAAATTTAATTTGAATTAATATTTTACTTAAAATTATGTGATTGTATTTACAATTTAGCATTACATTTTTCATGCTTTAGTCACATATAAATATCTAATTTTTATTATTTCTTTTTTTAAAAGCTAATTTTAAGAAAGTCTTTGTGGAACAAAAACACAATATAAAAGCATCAAACTGGAACATTTACATGAAATACCAATAAACAAATAACTTTCACATGTAATCAAATTGTAGTGATAAACAGCTTTGTTTTACCAAATATTTATTTAAGTACCAAAATGAATATTTAAAATGCCACACAGAGACCTCTGAGAACACTTTTTATGTAATGAACTTTTAAACTGAGTATTTGCACCTGTTCATTCAAACGAATCACCCAAAGGATCAGAATCACTATAATGATTCATACTTCTGAACTCCAGTATGTGTGCTTGTATAAATCTGTGGTAAATGTGAACATGAATTCAGACTGTTTTGTGTGAACAAGCATGTTTGTTTTAATATATATTCTTTCTCATTTTTGTAAAGATCACTGTGTCTGAATACGACGACCAAAGAAAAGACATTAGCAGCATGTACAACCGAATAACACTGAAACAACTGCAGAAAATGGCTCCAAGTGTGAGTACACACACACACACACACACACACACAGAGAGAGACACACACACACACACACACACACACACACACACACACACACACACACACACACACACACACACACAATATGAAAGCATCAAACTGAAACACATTACATTTACAGTAAATCCCAACAGACACAAATAACTTGTGTTTCACTAAATATGTATTTAATTACAAAATGAGCATTTAAAATGCCACACAGAAACCAGAAACTTTTAAACTGAATATTTGCACCTGTTCATTCAAATGAATCACCCAAATGGTCTGAATCACTATAATGATTCAGACTTCTGAACTCCAGTGTGTGTGTGTTTGTATAAATCTGTGTGTGGTAAATGTGTACATGAATTCAGACCGTTTTGTGTGAACAAGCATGTTTGTGTTATTTAACATTCTTTCTCTTTTTCGCAAAGATCACTGTATCTGAATACGACGACCAAAGAAAGGACATCAGCAGCGTGTACAACCGAATAACACTGAAACAACTGCAGAAAATGGCTCCAAGAGTGAGTACACACACACACACACACACACACACAGAGAGAGACACACACACACACACACACACACACACACACTCACACTCACGCACACACACACACACACACACTCGCTTATATCAAAAATACATGTTTATATAATTGTAAAAATGTTTAATATTTTTAACCAAAAATTTTACATTATTTCTAAATGTAATAATGAAATGTGACTTACACACCGATGAAACTCATCTGTGTTTTTTTCTCTCAACAATACAGTTTTGACCTGGTACAACTTTTAGTCAGGTGTGACTTATTTTCCAGAAAAGATGTTCCATGTTTTCTTTTGAATGGCCGTCAAATGGAGAAAGATGCTCTTTGACCCCAGAATGATGTAGTTATAGATTATTACCAGCAGGAGTGAACAGACTAACCAGTTTAAGCCCTTATTAGTGTCCTACGTAGAGAGAGTCACTATGGTTTGAGGCTGAGCCATTGTGCCGAGCCAGACAAACTTGAGTAGAATTTAAGGTGAGATACTACAGGCAAAAACTTTTTTATTCATGCATTGATCAGTTTTGTGATTTTCAGCTTTTTGCATTTTCATAAAGTGTTTTCTTTCAGTCTAGTGAAAAGGAAACATCCAAAACACACTTTTAAGTGCTTCTTTAATAGCACTATCTATTTGCGTCTGTAGATTTCAATTGCAATACATATCTTTAAAAAGATTTTTCTCCACTTCAGCAGCACTTACAAACACCAAAACTTAGAGTTTTATTCCTCTCTATATTGTAAAGGTTTTTACTGAGGGGTTTGTTCATATATCATTCACACTGATTTATACAACATTTTATTACTAGAAACCTGACGAAAATGCATATCTTTAAAGGCTGTGAGTTTTTTCTCCACTTCAGCAGCACTTACATACACCAAAACTTAGAGTTTTATTCCTCTCTATATTCTGAAGGTTTTTACTGAGGGGTTTGTTCATATATTATTCACACTGATTTATACAGCATTTTATTCCTAAAAAAATGGCGAAAATGAGTTTTTTCTGGCTGTTGACAGTATTTTCTGATTTATGGAGTGATAAAAAGAGAAATCCAAAATCCTCTCTATAAAAACCTTTAACTCTAATATGTCAACAAAATCACACAAGAATTTTGAACCTGACTTTTTCCAATGTTTAGATTTATTTTCTGGATATGTATGCAAAGAAGTGCATATTTAATTCTATAATGGCTCATTTTAAACATAACATTTCAGAAAACTTATAATACAAAAAATGTTTGCAATTCTCAATGTAATCAATCAACTGAGGAAGTATGGTGAAATCTATTAGTTACGTTTTTTTCACCTGTGGTGTCTTGCCTATATGATTGAATTTCAGTTGAGCAGAGCTGGATGTGAGAAATAAATCGGATTAAAACATTATTTATCTAAAAATGTGTCATTGATGCTAAAATTATAAAGAAAACAATAATGTTGAACCTGTTGTCAGAGAGCAAGATAAAGAGCAGGTTTATATGCGCTGAGAGTCCTGAAGTTCTCTGGCTTCGTAAGAATAATGGCCTTGTCTGATCTGTGGTGATTTTCCCCCAGATGACCTTCTGCTTCACAGTAAAATTAGAACGCAAACCGGCAAATATCTGGAGCCGCTGGATCTACCGGCCAATCCATTTTTGGCAGGCCAGATCCTCTGTTTAAAATGTAGAACATGGTCCCTAAATGAAGCATAAATCAATAAGCAGACGGCAGACGCTCAAGGTTTACTGGCTTCTCTATTTCATTGAAAGAGCCACTCGAGAGAAGCATAAACATTGTCATCTCTTCCTCTGTAGTTCCACTGGAAGCGTTTGTTGGACCGGATCTTCAGTGATAATTTCTCTGAGGAAGAGGAGATCGTAGTTTTGGCCGCTGATTACATGCAGACGGTGTCGGACATCATTAAAACCACGTCTAAACGGTAAGAAGTTTGAAAGAGCATGATTGGGATTTAAAATGCGATGCACTCTCTCTTTTTTTTTTTGCTGCACAATTTGGCCAAGCTTTTGTGATTTACATATTTATATGGCTACACAATAATAAAAATGATGATGATGATAAGAAATAATAATTATAATTAATATTATTATTGTTACTAAATAAAATTAAATGACTAAATAAAAACTTAATAAGATATGTTAATATTAAAAATTTATACAAATTTAAATAGCATTTAATAATAAATGTAATTGCAATTTCTATGTTAAAAATTGGGATTGTGATTTTATTATTGTGATTATTATTATTATTTTATTTTTTGTTCTGCTTGTTTGCATGACTTTACATCTTGTCCAAAACTTTGTGATTATATATCAATATGGCTAATAATAATAGTAATAATAATAATAATAGTATTGAAATATTTTACTTTAAAATAAAAAGTATAAAGAGTATTTAAGAAAAACAATATAATTTTAATAATTTTATTATACGTTACAAATGTAATATCATGCTGTAATGTTTGTGGCTGTCTTAATTTCTTCATTTTCAAAAAATAAACCATTGCAAAATATGCAGCACATATATTAATTAAATTAAATTGCAGATTTAGTGAAAATGTCACAGAAATGTGGCATACAGTGACCCCAAACCAAGAGGATTTATTGTAAAGAAAGATTCACAAACAGACTTTTGAAGCAAAATGACTCACAAAATAAGTTTGAAATGATGAAACATTAGATCTAGTGGTATAAATGAAGACAAAAAGTACTGCAACACTTTTAGACACACTTTCAGCATTGCACAGTATAAACCGGTGTGTGTGTGTGTAGCTTTATTTGAGGTGTCACTGTTGGGTGAACACTCATCTGTGCCGTGGCTGATTAGAATCGACCCACAACGGCCTCATTTGTTTACACACACACACACACACACACTCTCTCTCTCTCTCTCTCTCTCTCTCTCTCTCACTCAATCTCTCCTGGATGTGACAGGGTTAGTGTGTGTCTAGCTGACAGGTTTCTCTCATGGGAGTCTGTGTGTGTGTGTGTGTGTGTGTGTGTGTGTGTGTGTGTGTGTGTGCTGCCTGTCCGTCCACAGTGTGTTCATTGCTGCTATATTTTCTCTGTTTGTGTGAGAATAGTTGAATTTACTTGAACTGTTTTTTGTCTGTCTTTCTTTCTCTGCATTTCACTCTATGTCTTTTCTTTGTTTACGCTGACTGTGTCTAAAATATTAACTTAGGTTCCACTTAATTGTGACCGACGATTCCTTTAGTACTCTAGTGGTATAAATGAAGACAAAAAGTACTGCAACACTTTTAGACACACTTTCAGCATTGCACAGTATAAACCGGTGTGTGTGTGTGTAGCTTTATTTGAGGTGTCACTGTTGGGTGAACACTCATCTGTGCCGTGGCTGATTAGAATCGACCCACAACGGCCTCATTTGTTTACACACACACACACACACACACTCTCTCTCTCTCTCTCTCTCTCTCTCTCTCTCACTCAATCTCTCCTGGATGTGACAGGGTTAGTGTGTGTCTAGCTGACAGGTTTCTCTCATGGGAGTCTGTGTGTGTGTGTGTGTGTGTGTGTGTGTGTGTGTGTGCTGCCAGTCCGTCCACAGTGTGTTCATTGCTGCTATATTTTCTCTGTTTGTGTGAGAATAGTTGAATTTACTTGAACTGTTTTTTGTCTGTCTTTCTTTCTCTGCATTTCACTCTTTGTCTTTTCTTTGTTTACGCTGACTGTGTCTAAAATATTAACTTAATTGTTCCACTAAATTGTGACCGACGATTCCTTTAGTACTTAAAGAATACTAGGTCCCACTTTATAATAGGTGGCCTTAACTACTATGTACATACATTTAAATTAGTCATTTGGTACAATGCACTTATTGTGTACAAACATGTTTTTACATTGTACTTATATTTTAAAAAAGACCTGCATGTAATTGCATATCTAATTAATTTCTGTAATTACATTTAGAAGTACACTATTGACCCATCTCTTACACCTTAACCCACCCTTAAACCTACCCATACCACCAAACCTGTCCCTAACTTGACCCGTATCCCACCTCAATAGCAGCAAAAGTGTTTTGCAATACAATAAGTACATTGTACTTGTTAAGTAGTTAAGGCCACTTAATATAAAGTGAGACCGAATACTATATACTTAACAAATATAAAAATCTATTTTTATATTACAAAAATACATAAATATTGTATATTTTTATATTTATAGAAATTAAATATATTTTTACATTTATATAGATTATAATGTATTAATTGAACTGTTGTGAATTTCTGTGTTTATTTACTGTGCAATTAAATGCATTTATTTTTTTTTATTTTTTTTAAGGAATTAGTGCTTTAATTCAGGGATATTATAGTTAACTAAAACTAAAATGAAAAAAAAAATTAAAGCCATTAACATTTTTGTTACTTGAAATAAAATAAATGTTAACTGGAAAAAAAGAGTTACATTTAAGAAAAAATTTATTCCAGCTAGTTGCAAAGGCATAATTTTTGAGTAAATCCTGAAATATAAAATGTATGACGGTTTACACAAAACTATTGGGCAGCACAACTGTTTTCAACATTGATTGTCCGTCCACAGTGTGTTCATTGCTGCTATATTTTCTCTGTTTGTGTGAGAATAGTTGAATTTACTTGAACTGTTTTTTGTCTGTCTTTCTTTCTCTGCATTTCACTCTATGTCTTTTCTTTGTTTACGCTGACTGTGTCTAAAATATTAACTTAGGTTCCACTTAATTGTGACCGACGATTCCTTTAGTACTTAAAGAATACTAGGTCCCACTTTATAATAGGTGGCCTTAACTACTATGTACATACATTTAAATTAGTCATTTGGTACAATGCACTTATTGTGTACAAACATGTTTTTACATTGTACTTATATTTTAAAAAAGACCTGCATGTAATTGCATATCTAATTAATTTCTGTAATTACATTTAGAAGTACACTATTGACCCATCTCTTACACCTTAACCCACCCTTAAACCTACCCATACCACCAAACCTGTCCCTAACTTGACCCGTATCCCTCCTCAATAGCAGCAAAAGTGTTTTGCAATACAATATGAACACAATAAGTACATTGTACTTGTTAAGTAGTTAAGGCCACTTAATATAAAGTGAGACCGAATACTATATACTTAACAAATATAAAAATCTATTTTTATATTACAAAAATACATAAATATTGTATATTTTTATATTTAACACCTTAACCCACCCTTAAACCTACCCATACCACCAAACCTGTCCCTAACTTGACCCGTATCCCACCTCAATAGCAGCAAAAGTGTTTTGCAATACAATAAGTACATTGTACTTGTTAAGTAGTTAAGGCCACTTAATATAAAGTGAGACCGAATACTATATACTTAACAAATATAAAAATCTATTTTTAAAATCTATTTTTATATTACAAAAATACATAAATATTGTATATTTTTATATTTATAGAAATTAAATATATTTTTACATTTATATAGATTATAATGTATTAATTGAACTGTTGTGAATTTCTGTGTTTATTTACTGTGCAATTAAATGCATTTATTTTTTTTAAGGAATTAGTACTTTAATTCAGGGATATTATAGTTAACTAAAACTAAAATGAAAAAAAATTTAAAGCCATTAACATTTTTGTTACTTGAAATAAAATAAATGTTAACTGGAAAAAAAGAGTTACATTTAAGAAAAAATGTATTCCAGCTAGTTGCAAAGGCAACATGTTTAATTTTTGAGTAAATCCTGAAATATAAAATGTATGACGGTTTACACAAAACTATTGGGCAGCACAACTGTTTTCAACATTGATTATAATCACAGACGTTTCTTGAGTAGCAAATCAGATAATACTTCTATATTATCACATAGAAAACCCTATTTTAGACTGTAAAAACATTACGCATTTTTACTGTAATTTGGATCAAATAAATGCAGCCTCGGTGAGCAGAAGAGACTTCTTTCAAAGACATGTAAATTACTACTCGTCCCAAACTTACAACTGGAAGAATACATTTTGTGAGATGAAATTTAGCCCTAACCAGTTTATAATTTCCCTGATGAGTCTTAAAGGTGGTGGAATGTTTTTAATATTAAAATACTTCATGATTTCAGGAAACCGTCTGATTGGATGTCAGTGATATTAGAGATTTCTCTTCGTTTCTTCTGGAAATGTCAAGTCTTTTCGTCCCTCTCGTATCTTTGTGTAATAATGCATCGAATCCCATAATATTCTCACAATGACCCCTTCCTTCATAATCACTGTTATTAAAATCACCATGGCGATGCGCGGCTCTCCCACCAATCGGCTTTCATCAGGAGCGCTGCGGGAGCAGAGACAGAGAAATGACTTTTATTCTGCTCTTTGTTCTGGCGCTTTGCTGTTTTTAGCTCTTTCTCTTCACGTCCCTCCTGGTGCTTCTGCTCTTGGAGCGTCTCCGCAGGACCAAAACCTCATTCTCATCAAATGCTTGTTCTCGCAAACCTCGCTTCTCTTCTTTCCGAGTGAAACTGGTGCTGAAGGAACCGGAGGCCTGGCGCTCTGCTTTGTGCTGACTGTAAAATAAAAGTAGAAAGTGTTTTAACGTTGCTTAAAGCTGCGTGTGTTTCGCTGCGAGCCGCTCTCTCGTTCACATCTGTCGCAGTCAGCAAAATAAGACCAAAAACTTTGCAAAACGTTAAGTCAAAAAAACGGTATGAATCAAAACGTGCATGTTAATTTACAGTATTAAATATTGAAAGTTATTTTAAAGTGACAGATACAGTTACAGTAAAACTAGTTACTAGAAAAACTGTAGGCAAAACATTTTTTAAATACAATAATAAATTAAATTAAATTAAAAATAAATTTTGGTTTTTGACTGACAAATTAGGTCAGATTAGTTTGGAAAACAAAATATACTATTTTAAATCAATTAAAATATTTGAAATAAAGTAA